AAAAAAAACATGAACAGTTTATGTTCATATTGTTCCAAATACTCGTCTGCCTTGCTCATATGATTGCGTGACTTACACAAATCCGTAAAGCGTTAAATAATAAAAGGATATCACAGCTGTACATAATCGTCAATAAAGTTTAAAACAGTATTTGTAATGCCAATACAAGCAAGCATTCGTGTCCCAGGAAGCAAATGAGAAGAAGACTCGATCGCTGGGGCATCAAGACATCTGTGCAGAAACCAGATCTGCGAATAGGTTGAGGCCTTACGAAGGGTAAATGTTTCCCATAGTCGGGCCGATCTAAGCGCATCGCGCCCAAATAAATTGCTAATGCAAGCAAACATGCGTTGTCCCAGCGATCGAGTCTACTTCTTCTCAATTGATTCCTGGGACAGGCATGTTCGCTTTTATGGGCAAATTATATGGGCGCGATGCGCTTAGATCGGCCCGACGATGGGAAACATTTACCCTTCGTGAGGCCTCAAACTATTCGCAGATCAGGTTTCTCCACAGACGTCTTGATGTCCCAGCGATCGAGTCTTCTTCTTCTCAAGTACTTGTACTCTATCAGTGCACATGGGGCATTTGTTTGGAGGTTTCGGTGGAAGGAATACTGTGTATAACGGAACCATAAACCTGCTAGTCCATGTAGCCACGATTACCCGCAGAATTTCATTTATTAAGGAAAACTGAAATAAATCAGACAAGAAGAATGTTTTAGGTGAATTTGTAGAAACGTGGGATTGCATTGAGCGTTGATTATGTAGATGTCCGACTTTGTGCATTGGCCACAACACAACACCCATTAAGAAGACAGTGACGCGCGAATCCACGCCTTTCTTAAACTGAAAATCAACGTAAAGCCGGCTTTTTATCGCACAATTTATGTTGCTTACGCGCTTTTTATACTCTGTTGAAAGCATGTCAAACACACGCTGTGTAAAACTAACCTTTCATTTGTTTGGAGGGAAGACATTTTATGTAATCTTTGAATATTGAAATATTTGCATCCCAAGATACTAATTATAAGAATAAGAATTTATTTGGGAATGTTCTTTTGCAGCTAAAAAAACGCGAGAATAAATGTTATCACTCAAACTTTGACAAACTAGTAATACAGACGAAAACTTGTGGAGAAACCTCGTTCTCTAAGGCCTGTTAAATATGCCTTAATATGCCTCTTCATTCTTCTCCTATCCAGCGTTGATTTTTAGCACTTTAGGGAGTTATATTATTAAAGGTATTTTTTTTAGCTGTCGGAAACCCGATGGTTGATATTTGCATGCTGTATGAAAAGATATTTCTCTTATAATGATATATGATTCAAGTGAAATTAAGGCCTGTTGTCTGATGTGGTGGTAAGTAGTCCAAAATTCAATAGTCGTTTTTGAATATGTAGGGCAGTGAAAGGTGTATCTTAGATTAATTTGATTGGAATAAATGAGACTTTCTGTCAGAACCGTTCTCATTAACTTCCCAAGAATATTTTGACAATCAGTATCACTATCTTAACGCCACTAATGTGACAAAGATATAAAAAATAAGCATCAGGATATGTAGCCGTTTGTATGAAGTTGAAATACAGTTGTGCTTTAGCATTACATTGGTGACAGTCCCTTTGATATTTTTGTGATTACATAAGACTCACTGCTGTCGGATGCATCAGCCATATACTCAGGACTAATTTGCATATCTGTGGTGTTGATTGTATTTTAATTTTACTCGATTGTCCTTTAAAGCCACTTGAAAACTAGAAAAAAACCTAACAGGACCTTCATCCCTGTGTACCAAGCCTAAATTTCAGAAATGATGTTCTTCGAAATAATATAATAAAATTGATACCGACGGTTAATTGCCCGCACTTCCCTCACCCCCTTTGAATTGTGGCTTCTTTTCCCTCACGACCTGATGAACCTTGATAGTTGATTGTTGTGCACACACTTTAACTAGCCCCTCTTTTTCTGCTGTTTCTTATCTCTGGCGATGGTCTCCTGTAGGGGTTCAACAGCTGAGGACAATAAACAAAGAGATCCAATGCTCGACCATCCTTCTTCCTTACCCAGTTAGGGATGAGTTCTAGTGGTCAATAAATATATTTTACAATGCACTGTGATACGTACTGCAGGGAAGTTCGTAATGCATAGTCATCAGATGTGGTAATTGTACCGCGCCTCACTGTATTTATAGCTCTTGGCGGTTATAGTCAATAGGGGCTTAACCAATGCAGAGAAGGGGGGGAGGAGGAGGTTAAACGGGATGCCCAATCATCGTGTCCTGTAAAGCGTAATAACTTTAGTCAAGGGGTCTCTTGTCGGCTTCCGGTGTTCGCGCATGTGCGCCTGTCATTGACCGAAGCTGTCTTCCCACGCTGGGAATGCTGCTTGCGCTCCGACGTCCATCCGGTTTCAGACTTGCAGGCTGACCGGATGTGCTGGCTGAGGTGATGGTTGCTACTTCCGGTTGTGGCTCGGCTATGTGTGTGTCCACCATCGGCTAACGAGCAGCTATCGACTGAAGCTGTCGCCATCGGCCGGCACTCCTACTTGTGCTCATGCGTCCGTCCGGTTTCACACTCGCAGACCAAGCGGATGAACCAATTGAGCTGATGATTGCTACTTCCGGTTGTGGTTCAGCTACGTGTGTGTCCATCATCGGCTCGCAGGTAGGCAGATTCACGTTCCGTCTATGTTCTCGTTTGCTCTTTTCTTCATTGAGCTGCTTTCGAAGAGCTTGGTCGGCAGCGGGAAGTGCCACACAACGATTGATTGAGGTTGTTCCCCTGTGCCAGGCCTCGATTGTTTCCCTGACCACGTGGTCATTTCGCCGACACATAATTTCGGCATTCTGGAAGGCGAATTTGTGTCCGGCATCCGCGCAGTGTTCCACAGCTAACGATAGTCGGTCCATTCTGTTTACTGCCCTGTTGTGTTCTGCCATTTGCGTCTGGAGTCGCTTTCCCGTCTCTCCGACATAGTCGACCGTACACGAATCGCATTTGACCCAGTAAACGACGTTGCCGGTTTGACCTCGGGGCAGGGGCTCCTTCGACCGCATGACCAGATGTCGTATTTTCGCCTCTGGTCGGTGGCCGATGCCGACACCCAGGGGTTTCAGTAGACGGGAGACTGCCTCCGGCACGCCATCAATGTAAGGCAGCGCACGCCATACTGTTGCTTAGTCGGCTGCTAGACCTCGGTTCCGTGGAGACTGCCTGCCGCGTTCGATGAAGTTTCGAAGGTAACCTATGGCCATGAAATGGTGCTGGAGGTATTGCATTACAGATTTGTGGTCATACGGCACCCTGCAATGTGCTTCTGCCCGCTTGTACAGCGTTTGCACAAAACTGCGTTTTGTGGCATGCTGATTGCTTGCTATGTAACTCAGGATTTGGCGCGTTTTGGTGGCCCTCCTATACACCGTCGTTGTGAGATTCCCATTGGGTTTTCAATACATGAGTACGTCTAGAAACAGCAGTTGATTGTCGTTCACGGTCTACATCGTGAACCGGATGTCAGAAAACACAGAGTTCAGGAGATCGTGGAATTCTCGGACCATGTTTCGCTCAATGATGACGAAGATTTCGTCAACATACCGTGCCCACAACTTTGGCCTGTAGTTTGCGAACGCGAGAGTTTCTAATTTTTGGAGCACTGCCTCTGCGATGAGTGGCCATCCCATTGGCGTCCCCTTTATCTGTTCGTCTGTTCGCCCCCTCGAAGGTAAAGAACGTCTT